ATCGAGATTGAAACTGAAAAATACATATAAATATTTTTCTAAGAGGCATGAGGAGATTGACTGGAAGCCTTGTTTCATTATAGAGTTTCGTTGGTTGTAAATACCTGAGTAATCTCATGCTTTGTCCTAATAATGGCTCATGAGAAGGGCATAGAAACATAGGAGAAGTGGGCTGTGCTAACCACGACACCTCTACTGACAGGAAAAAAAGGCCATTACTTTTCAGCAAAAGCGCAACATAATTAATTAAGGGCTGGATTTAATTCAGGGACATTTGAATTTTATAGCTATACACTTGCAGCTATAAAAACCACCTTTATTATTAAAATTCCTGTAGGAAAAATAACTTGGTAATTGTGAGTCTAAAACTCTGGTCCCTAACCTCATTTCCCCATTGGCACAGTTGTTTTTACAACACAGTGAGGCAACTCCTGTGTTGGAGTAGGACAGGTTATGTTTTTAACAAGTGCCCTGGGGATTCAGAGGCAGCCAGTCTGCAGACAAGGATTTGGGACCCCCTGTAGCAAGCACTGGCCTTTAGGTCAAAGATCTGGTGTCCAGTTTAGGCTAATTATTTGCCAGCTCTGTGGTTTTGGACAAACCATGGAGACTTTCTGAGCCTACGTTCCTCATCTATATAAAAGATAGTGATGTTTTGACTGATTCTCCTCAGCATTGCTATGGGGGTGGGGGTGTCCAGAAAATGCCCATCACATACCATACTTGTTTTTTTTTTTTGTTTTTTTTTTTTATTGAATGGATGTTCATTAAGGACCTACTATATTCCAGGACTAGGSAGGAGTGAAGAAGATCATGAAATCTCCCTCCTTTTATGGAGATTGCATGATGAGGAACAGTGGAATAGGGGGGTGTAGTGGACACACAGGGACATTTCTGGTACCTGTAGTCTTGTCAAAATGTAAGTTGTCATTGAGATACATCTGTGCKCCTGAAGGGGAGCAAGTGGGTGTATGCATTAAGTGGAGCAATTGGGAAGAGTCCTACCTAGAGATATTACTTGCACAGAGATCTGAATGACCAGAAGAAGAGAGCCATGTGGACATCTGTAGGTGGAGAGTGTCAGAGACAGGGAACAGCCAAGGGAAACAAGCAGCTGGATTAGAGAAGAGGAGGATGGCTGGAGTGCTGGGGCATAGTGGCTCACAGGGAGTGTGGTCTCAGTGAGATAGGGGGGCAKGTTGCAGGGCTTATTGTGTAAGGGACAGTTGATCATAAAAAGGAACTAAAAATTTTATGGCACTGGAAAGCACTGGAAAATTGAGACAGAAAAGCAATGTGACRTGTTTCATGTTTTAGAAAGATCACTCTGGCTGTCACAGGAAAAGTCTATAGTGAGGCAAGAATTGGAGCAAGGAGACCAGGAAGGCCACGCAGTTGTCCAGGTAGAGTTGAWGGCAGCATAAGTTACAGCCCAGAGATGCAGCTTAGATTTAGTGCAGATTTGAAGGTAGAGCTGAGTAGCTTCCAAAGAGCAGAGAGGGAAGGTATGTATGCCAACAGAAATTCAGTGCTATTCCATCTGCCTTCTCCTGTTATTTCCCTGCATTTATTTGTAATGTAGACACAACATAGTAGTACTGAATTACTCATCCTCACTTCACAGCATACATAATCTCAGATGTGCGGAAGATGGGCAGAGTAAGGGAACAGGCCCCACACAGCCCCATAAACATGGGGAGCCCATGCACACCCCCCATGAGCACTCTTATGCAAGTTTCCATTCTTAAACACAGTTCCGGTGAGCTTGGTGTCCTACATCTGCAAGGAAATCAAAAATGGGAGAGGAGGATAAAGAGGGACAGCTTCTAACAGGAGGTTATGTGACCACAAAAGAGGAATAAAGGAAGAATACATGAGGAGACAGCAAAAAGTATAAAAAGCAGATGTAAGACTCCAAAGCGCATTTCTAAATTAAGGTTTCCTCCACATTTAACGAGGGCAGAGAAGAGTGAATACTGTTGTAGAATGTCCTGTCTATAAAATCGTTAAAACAAAATTAAATCCACTTGACTTACAAAAGATTAGGCTTGAGGTATATGAAATGATCTCATGTGGACCCTTATTTCCCCAAGGTACTCAGTAAATGAATCTTTTCATTGTATTTTATGGTCCTGTGCATGAAGTGCTATATTTTCTACTCAGCTGATAAAAGCCCATTAAAATGTAATGTGCACAGAATTTCTACTTCCGGGAAGATGGYCTAGATGGCTTAGTTGAACTTTTCCCTATTCTTCCCATTAATGACAACTAAAACCCCTGATCATTACATATGGAACACACATAAGAAGACTGTAAAGTGGAGAGAAGAAAGCTGATTGGTCAGAGACACTAGAAACTAAGGAACAGCTCACACAACTCACTAATTGCAAATTCGTTGAGCTCTATTTTTGGCTCAGATATCCCAAACTTGGAGCTGAAGAAGCTGACTACCAGAAAATGCCARTGTGTACTGGAAAGCCCTGACTAAAAGCTCGCTGTTTCCAACTAAAGGACCAGGAAAGGGGCAGCATAGCCGGACAGAAAATGCTTAGAAAATACTGGTCTTCTCTGGCCAAGCACCAGGGAAAACACTGAGACCCACCACCACATACCAGCAAAGCCTGAGTAGGGAGCCTCAACCTCCCTCTTAGACAGACTGAAACAGGAACCCCCAGAGGATGGGGGCAGGGAGGGCAAAGATGCTCCTTCCCACCAAGGCAAACTGCTTGTGGCAGGTGAAGTGTATAGCCTCTCTGGCAAATGATTCAGCAGTTTCTAAAAACACTGACCAGGTAATTGCCATTTGACCTAGAAATTCCTAGGCATTTATGCCAGAGAAATAAAGACCTGTTCCCACAGATACCTATCCCAAAATATTTAAGCAGCTTTATTAGTATCAGTCAAAACCTGGAAACAACCCAGATGTCCTTCAGCAAATGAATGGTAACAAACTGTGGTACGTTCATGCCATGGACTACGACTCAGCAATAAAAAGGAACAAAACATTGGTACATAAACCATGACATCATGTTAGACCTGGGTGAACCTCCAGAGAACTTTTCTGACTGAAAAAAAATCCAGTCACAATAAGTTACATACATAAATTATACATGATTTCATTTATATAACCCTCTTGAAATGATAAAATTATGGAAATAGAAACTCTACTAATGTATGCCAAAGAATTAAAGAGGGATTGGAGATATCATGAGGGATCATTTGTAGTGATGGACATACTCTATAATATAACCTTACTGATGCAATATTGGTATTATAATATTATACTCTGGTTTTGTAAGATGTTCCTGTTAGGAGAAGCTGGACAGTGGGCACAGGATTGATTGCTCTGCATTATTTCTTTTTTTTTTCTTTTACTATTTCTTTAAATGTTTTATTCTAATTTGTTATATGTGACAGCAGAATGCATTACAATTCATATTACACATATACAGCACAATTTTTCATATCTCTGGTTGTATATCAAGTATGTTTACAGCATTTGTGTCTTCATACATGTACTTAGGGTAATGATGTCCATCTCATTCCACCATCTTTTGTACCCCCATGTCCCCTCCCTTCACCTCCTTCCCCTTTGCCCTCTCTAGAGTTCATCTGATCTTCCCATTCTCCCCCTCCCAACCCCATTATGAATCAGCCTCCTTATATCAGAGAAAACATTCAGCATTTGTTTTTTGGGGATTGGCTAACTTCACTTAGCATTATGTTCTCCAACTCCATCCATTTACTGCAAGTGCCATGATTTTATTCTCCTTTATTGCTGAGTAAGATCCCATTGTTTTCTTTTAATAATATTAGTAATATTCCATTTTCTCTATCCATCCAGCTATTGAAGGATATCTAGGTTGGTTCCACAGTTTAGCTATTGTGAATTGTGCTGCATAAACATTAATGTATTGGAGAAAAGATGGTGCTTGGAAAACCATATGCAATAAAATGAAATTAAACCCCTATCTCTCACCATGCACAAAACTCAACTCAAAGTGGATCAAGGACCTAGGAATTAAACCAGAGACCCTGCATCTAATAGAAAAAAAAGTAGACCCAAATCTCCATCACATCAGATTAGACCCCTAATTCCTTAATAAGTCTCCTATAGCACAAAAATTAAAATCAAGAATTAATAAATGGGATGGATTCAGACTAAAAATCTGCTTCTCTGCAAAAGAAATAATCAGTGATGTGAATAGACAGCCTACAGAATGGGAGCAAATTTTTACCACACTTACATCAGATAGAGCACTAATCTCTAGAGTATATAAAGAACTCAAAAAGCTAAATACCAATAAAGAAAAAAGAAACCCAACCAATAAACGGATCAAGGAACTGAACAGACACTTCTCAAAAGGTGATATACAATCAATCAACAAATATATGAAAAAATGTTCATCATCTCTAGCAATTAGAGAAATGCAAATCACAACTACTCCAGTCAGAATGGCAGCTATTAAGAATACAAACAATAGTAAGTGTTGGCAAGGATGTGGGGAGAAAGGCACATTCACACATTGCTGGTGGGACTGCAAATTGGTGCAGCCAATATGGAAAGCAGTATGGAGATTCCTTGGAAATCTGGGATTGGAACCACCTTTTGGCCCAGCTGTCCCTCTCCTTGGTCTATATCCAAAGGACTTAAAAACAACATACTACAGGGACACTGCCCTGCATTATTTCCTATAACTAAATGTGATTTGACAATTTTCTCAAAAAAATTTAAAAACTAAACCCTAAAAGTGTAACCTCCAGAGTCACTTATTAATTTAATGATTAAAATGCATCAATCATCCCAATTGGTGTACCGTGCTCTGTCTTCAGACTCTTCAATCCTTGCTTTTTCTGAGAGCTCCGGGGAAGGCAGGTCAGTGGGTGGGTAGACAATTTATCTTGTGCAGAGACAATTTTCATTGGTTTTCCTGTGTTTCAACAAAATGCCCCACAGCCATAGCTGTCAAGTGACACTTCACGCTCTTTCCCATCTTCAGGAAAGCCGCTAGTGAAAACATCGCGAATGACCGTGGTCAACACAGAGAAGCCTGCAGTCACTGTGGACGTAGGAAGCACCGTCAAAACAGTGCAGGGAGCAAATGTGACAATTAATTGCCAAGTCGCAGGTGAGAAATTCATTCCTGTGCTAAATCATTCAAATTAATGGTGCCTTGGGGAAGGTTTGGAGGGTACAAAGACAAATTAGTCACAAATCCTGCTCTGGGGACTCAATGCTGGTAGGAACACTGAAGCAGGAACCTCAGTTACTCAGAAAGTACAAAGTGCTATGGATGTTGACAGGAGGGAAGAACATTCTGTATGGGACAGATGAGTTAAAAGAGACTGTAGGGGTTTTTATTAATATTATTTTAACAGATATATCATATTTTATATATTTATGGGGTACAACTTGATACTTATAGTGCAAGGTAATTAAATCAGGCTAAGTAACACGTTCATCAGTTTGTTTCCCTATTGTTTAAGGTGTTTTGGTTTTGCTTTTTACTCTTCCATACTGATAGAATGTGAACRTGCGAAGATGAGGGCAAAGGGTTCGGAGCATACCGTCCCTGGCCCTTAGGAAGCCTCCAGGCTGTGCAGGCACACATGAGCTTTAGTCAGGGTGGAGCCCARATGCAGCCGTGGTGTGGAGGCAAGGTGGGCAGCGCCCGGGAGACCATGAATGCCTGGCCAGGGAGTCCTGAGAAAGGCAGAGTGACTCTGAGGCCTCTGATGGATTGAGAAAGGAGACTAGGACGGAGGGGCAAGGTGAGAGTGAGAGAGGACCTACTGAAGAGATGAAATGCCTGTTTGCTGGCCTCTCCAGTAAAGATCAGATGAGCATGAGAGAAGAGGGAGGAGGTCACAGCAAAAGGAAACCGGAGCTTACTCAAATCAGAAGTGGGCAGGAGTCGCTGAAGACGGCAGTGTGTCAGGAATTGTGATGCAGGCATTCCTCTCCAGAAGGCCTTGCAGAGGCCACTCAGGACCAGGAAGTCACAGGGCAGTGAGCAGTAGGGGACAGAAGGGTGGAGATTGTRAGTAGTCCATCCCACAGTGAAATGGAGACAGGAAAGTCTCTTGTGCCAAGAGCAGCTCCAATATCCCCATCACTCTGCTCCTCGGCTATGCCMCACTGGCCACCCATACCCAAATTCACGCTCCCCAGTTACATTCTGTCACTGAGTGTCAAGCAATGACATGCCCTGCTCTGAGGGTTTCTTCATCTTAGATCTGATCCCCATCATCTACCTCCAATTGTAATTTGCAATGCTAGAAAACCCATTTTATACTAATTAGGAGGAAAATCTTACTCTGAGACATGTTGTTTCCAAAGAATATCCAGGTCTGATTTTCTCTGAACTGTCCTAGGAGCTTTAACATATCTGAATCAGACATCTATCTTTGTAGCTGTGCGTTAGTGCTTTGTAAAGCTTCCCTTGGCCGGTGCATTCAGCCTCCTCAGCAAAGCTTCTAGAATCAGATCCTTGCAGGTCTGTATTCCCAGGTGGGGAGTAAGACAAGTCAGTGACAGAGCTTCCCATGAATGAGCTGTCCCTCTGCAGGTATGCATTGTACCTACAGAGCAATCATACCCACCTGACCCCTGGGACAGGCACCTCCAAGACGAACACTGTCCTGAGATATGAGGGACCTTGTGTGTCTCTTTCTGATTGCTGGGGTTGTAAAAGTATCAGAAAGGAACAAGGAACAAAACAAGGAACTGGAAATTTGAAGGAGATTGAGAGAATCAGACCCTAGGTGAGGAGGTATTTCCTCGGGGAGTCTAGAACATTAAAAGAAGCTTTGACCCATTCTTGCATTCTACCTGAGGCCCCATCCCCTGGATTTCATCCAGAGACTCAGTTGGTGACCCAGAGCCCAGGTTATTGTTTACAGTTTTTGCCTAACTATGATATTATAGTATTTATTATTATTATTATTGATAAAATGATCTTTATTAACTAAAAATAAATCTTTGTGCTTCTATCATTTTGCCTGTTGTTTCGACAAGATAATTGTTCAAAGCAGGTGGAAAGGAGCCTGCTTTTGGTTACTCAGTAAACTTGCTGGACAAGGAGATCCTCCTGGAGCTGAGTCTCCAGTCACAACCCTGACAGTTCTATTAAATGCTAAATGGCAGAAGGAGCTTCTTTCACTTTCCTGCCGTAATTGGCTTTTGTGGTCCTCTCTCTATACTTGATCCTCTCTACCAGGGGCTTAGGGACCTCCCAACTGGCTGGGCAAAATTCTCTAAGCCCCAGCAACATTTGCCAGTAACTGACAATGAACTAGCTTGAGAATGAGCAAGCCAGGCCTGATTTTGGGCAGGGAAGGGACTCCATAAGGGCCTGCTTACAGGCTTCATGTCAAATTTACTTGTGTTCTTCCTTGGTGGTTTTTCATTGAATATCTGATCCAGGTTACATTGGATATTTTTAATCCAAGGAAACATGGATGAAAATGGTAGAACTTTCAGGTAGCTCACTGGAAGAAGAAAAGTTAATAAATCCACAATTATAAAACAATGTGATATGTATATACAGTTGTTGCTTTCTTATGAAATATTGAAGTAGTGCAGAAAACAGAAAAATAAAGGGTCATAAAGGAAAGAAAATAACTTATTCAAAGTCCCACTAACCAGACTCAACCACAGAAGACTTTGAAGCGTATTTACTTAATCATTACATTTCATCCACTTCCTTTTCACACAATAATTAACACTGTGTCATCAGCCTAATTTTAATGGATATATAATAATCTAAGAATATTGCATAATCTACCTAGACTGACTCATGTCCTCGTATCTTTGCCTTGTTAGCAGTTTTTCATTAAACATTGTTCTGCACACATCTTGTGCTCTCAACTTGTTGAATACATTTCAGCAATTCTTTCCAACCCTCAAGCATAAAAAGCATTAAGCCATGAGTATGGTGGGGCTTTTTCTTGAGGATGATCCAACCCATCGTACCATTCTCATCCTTGTTCTCTACTTCATAAGAGTTCAGAACTTACGTAGAAAACAAAAGATCAAGGGAGGACAGCGCATTCCTGCCATTCAGAACAGCATGCACAAAAGGCCTGAGGCAGAAAGAGAATGCTGCATTTTAAAAAGTGAAATATGGCTGGTGTAAAAAATATGACTGATAGTCTGGAAGGCAGAGAGAAAAAGGAGTGTATGAGACTGGGAAGTAGGGGCCAGCAAGGGCCAGGTCTTTCATAGATTATGGCCCCATTTAGGTTTTTATCCAAAGAGTGAAGGATACTTTTGAAGGATTTAAGAGATAAGATTAACAGGACTAGTGGTAGAGACATAAATGGTTCAGGAGCCAATTATTAGGTGGTATATTAGTTAGAGAAAGTTAGACTGTGGAATCCTACAGTGCATTCGGGGTCACTGATTCAGAGGGCTCTGTTATCTTGAACATAAGCCCCGCCCCCCCTGGGAGGTTAGCTCTATCCTGTAAATCAGAGAGGGGAGAAACAGTAGAGGATGATTGGGCAGGTTTTCAAGGGCCACACCTGGAAGTAGCACTCATTCCTACTTTTCACTTTCCTTAGACATGTGGTAACTACATGGGATGCCAGATAATGTATCCATACTGGGTACTCAGGAAACAGAAGAAAACTGGTTTGTGAATGGCTATTAGCATCTGCCAGTCAGACTGGAGAATTGTGAAAGGCCAAAACCTTTCCAGGCTGCCATAGTTCAGTAAAATAATTGCCAAAGCTGACATCTGAATTACTTTCTCTTTTCTTGCACCAAGTCACCCTCTCCCCATCAAAGAAATTTCTAGAACTTACCATGTAAAAGTACACCTTGGGATGCCCCACCTCAAGATCCTGACAAGCTGCCATAGTACGAGCAGCTTTCCAAATATAACAAATGGTCCAGTTAGCAAGAATATCCTGTCGGGGATATTTAAAAAAAAAAAAAAAGATATTATAGCATCACGCTTCCTGGCAGCTCAGTGGAGATTAAAGGCACTAATCCTCATAATCGTATCCAGTTACAACCCATTCTGACGAGACCCATTTATTGATCCTTTCAAGCAACAGGGAGAACATTGTGTTGTTGGTAAGATATGCCACAAGAGGAGAAAGCAAACACACGTTCTTTTGGTTTCCTTTTTTTTTTTTTTTAAGACACAAATAATACCAGGGAATCCAGTGTGGAGCCAGGCCAAGTCACTGGTCTACAGCTTTGAACTTTGTTTTATGATGGAGTGCATTTTCTACCATTTTAAAGGTGTTTCTTTCTATAGAGTGTACTGTCACCTTACAATTTAGGGGAGGGTTAAAAAAAGAAAAGAAAAAAAAATCTCTAGGACCTGACCATGTTTTCCAGCAAAAGAAAACCAAGAAATCCAATGCTTATGGATTCTGGAACCCTCCTTCCTAACAAAAATATTATTGTTACAATGACAGGAGAAAGACTAATTTTGAAGTCAAAAAGTGTTTCAGAATGTCATAGTTCAGAAATAAGAACACAGAAGTTTAGATATTCTCTAAAGAGGCTGTCTGGTGTCATGGCGGGATGTGCTGTAACCTGCTGAGATGGGGATTCTCAAAGGCATCTCCATTTGGACCCATGCTGCCATTGTGGGTTTGGATGGGCAATAGGAGGGCAGAGACTCTGCCCCCGTCTAATTTCTCAGAGATCCAAACTAACGTGACTTTAATCCCTTTGAGCCCTGGTTTTCTCATCTATAAATGTAGTTAATAATATAGTACCTGCTTCATGGGAATGTTGTCTATAATTTGGCTTACAGCAAATGTTTAGTAGATATTACTTCTCCCCACGGTGTGCAGGTTATTTTTCCATAGCTCAGCACACTTGGTACCTCAAGGGAGTCTGAACATTAATATTAGGCAAGCATATGTAATACCTTTTCAGGGGATTCTGTGGCACATCCAAGGCATAGTGAAGTTTCCTAAAACGTCATTGTCACTTTGTCACCTTTCCTCCCTCTTTTCCTCTTCCTCCTCCTTTTCTTCTCCCCCCCCCACCCCATCTCTCATGGGGGTGGGATATACTGGGGATTGAACCCAAGGGCACTCTACATTTTAACTCCATCCCTGGCCCTTTTTATTTGGAGACAGGGCGGCCCTCAACTTGTTCTCCTCCTCCTTTCTCTTCTTTCCAAGTCCCTGGGATGACAGGAGTGGGCCCCTGCCCCCAGCTCATCATATCAGCTCTTAAGAGAAAAAGGGAAATGAGCTCTATGATGCCTCGGTTGCTTTTTCTCTTTCTTTATTCTGTGTTCACAATGTCAGCCAAATGTTTCCAAATGTCTTTTAAGTGGCATTGGCAGGAAGCCCCCAAAATGTGGCACCGGCACCAGTCCATTAGCAAATGCGTGATGCAGGTCAGTGCTCCAGTGAATCTGGGAGAGGTTTGCTAATGAAGACCCTGGGATGCCTGTCACTGTGTGGTTCCAGTTTTATAGAAACTGCAGGCTCCTTCCTTGTATCCTTTTCTATCCTGAACATTTTCATTTCTGCCGTGAATATCCTTGCTCTTCCTCCAGAAGAGGAACATACTTAGTCTTGTCCTCTCAAGCCAAATGTTATAGGTTCATGAGGCAAAGGGTAGTACAGAGAAGGGAAAAGTCACACAATCAGTTCCTAAGGAAGCTGAGAAGCAGCTCCCAGGCCCTTCTCCATCCCTGGGTTCCCTGGCTCCTTCCCCTCTCCCTCCTCCCTCCGTCTCATTTGTTCTCATTTTCTCTCTCCCCTGCATCTCTCAACCTCTGGCTACCCTGCAGGGGCCCAGGCTCAAACCCAAAGAGGACTGAACAGCCCTCAGTCTCCTTCGGGATGCTTCAATATCACACCTAGAGGGAGCTGTGGCGGATGCCTGTGGAGACCCTCACTTGTTCACCTTGTGTTGAGAAAACTAGAGGCTCATTTTATCCGGTTCTCTACTCTGCCTGCTTGCTCTAGAATTGTCTTAAGGGACTGTGTGCCTGCTGCCCACAGCCCTCCTCAAAAAAGGATGTCAGCAGGAAGTGCTACACCTGAGAAATTCAAGGGAAGGGAGATGAATATGAATGATATGTAGGACCCCACTTCCCCCTGTGCTTTCAGGAGAGAAATAACTGGAACTCTTTCTTTTTGACCTACTTTTTCAGAGGCTTTCTACTAAATACTGTGGATTTTTTTTTTTTTCAATGTAAAATCTGAGCTCAAGGTCCAGAGTCCAAGCTGGCATGGTCAGGCATCATGATGCTCTTGCTCTCCCTAGTGGTGCTACATTGAAAAATCAGCTTTTCTGCCCCTCATGTAGGCATCTTGAGAGATGATGCCCCTCTCACACAAGTGAGCACCAAGCATCACATCATTTAGGCTGAATCAGTGTGTGTCTCTCCTTGAGGTGATGACCTGCACTATCTAAGTCTCCACCCCTTTTCATTAGCCCTGCCTCTCTTCTTCCAGCCAGTTTCAAGGACAGGTAACAGGTACACAGGTAACTACTTGAAGACTTCAGTATCCCCAACAGTCGACTGGCCAGTGAAGGCAACACTGCCCTTTGCCCCAGTGGCAAAGTCCAGCCCAACTCAGAGAAAGTGCTGGACTAAAGGTCTGCCTTTTGGGTTTTTCTTGGCATTGACCCCATTTTCCAGGATTTGACATTCTAAACATGCTCTGGAGACTTGCCCAAGAGTTCTAGGAGTAAACTTCATGAACTGGATCAGAAAGCTGGGTGATGTAAGGGATGAAGCTTTCGTCTCCTGGGAGACCTGTGAATCGATGCCATAGACTTTCAGTCTCTCTGTTCACTCAGAGCCCAGCCTCCGACAGAACCTCACTCAAGGACCATCCAGGAGGACTTACCTTCAACGGGGGCCTGCGTACCAGCTCATCCACCACAGGGAGACTTCCCAAGGAGTTTAGGCTGTTCCAAGAACAGCCTGACTTCCAAAGACAGGCAGCCATCCCACAGCAGCACAGCCTCCCAGCCCTCACAGACCACAGACATGGGTTGTGGTGGGGGACAGACCTCTCCTTTGGACTATTTCCTGTGGTGCCACTGGTGCCCCATCTCTGTTCTCTCATTCTGAGACTATATAGGCTTCTGTGTTTGTCACCTTCCTGTCACTGTAACAAAGCATCTGCAGTAATCAACTTATGAAGACAAAAATTGTTATTTTAGCTCACAGTTCTGGAAGTACTAGTCCATGATCGGTTGGCTCTGTTGCTTTGGACCTATGGCAAGACAGCACACCATGGTGGGAGCATGCGGCAGAGCTAAACCCATTCACTTCATGACCAGGAAACAGAAAAGAATGAGCAGAGGGCTGAGGTCCCCCTCCAGTGACTACAGACCTCCCCCTAAGCCTCACTTCTTCAATAGGACCACTCTGGGGACAAGCCTTTGATACATTGCCCTTTGGAGAGTAGTCAAGATCCAAACTATAGCAGCTTCCAAAAATGCAAGCATGGTTTGTTCACAGAGTGTCGGCTCCAATAAGGATCTAGCAGCTTTCATTTGTCTAGTTCAGACATATATTTTAATGTTTTATAGCCTTTAACTTTTTATTAAACATATCTATATAAGAAAGTACACATATCATAAAGATACCAAGTAAACACTCCCTGCACATCCAGCCAGGTCAAGAAGCATTTCCAGTAGCCCCTCCCACGTCCCCTCTCTCAGTCACAAGCCCTCTGCACCCATCCCACTTCCTTAGGGGAACCACCACCCTCACTACTCACAACGTAGATTAATGTTACCAGTTTGGGGCTTCTACTTACAGAAATGAATTCATAATATATATAATCTTATATGTGGCTTTTCTTAATATTGTGTTGTCTCATGCAGTTGTAGAGCCTTTATTTTCACAAATATATAGATTTGGGTTTTTTTATTTTTAAAAAGTCTTTTCCAAATAATTTGGATACTTTAGCAAGTGCCCTTTACTAGCTGCCCGTTTCCTCTTCTTTTAATTGGCCTCTCTCTTCCTGCCTCATCAGTGTAGGATTTAAAAGGCAAAAGATCTGGAGACAACTCAAAGGTCCAAGGTGTTATTTGGTTTGGCCAAAAGATACAGAAGACGCCCAGGCAGATGCTTCCTCAGAGTAGCCGCAGGAGGACCAGCCAAGAGGCTGTAAACGCCTCTGCATTCACCTGAATATGTTTGGCTAATGGAGTGTTTTTTTTTTTYYTTTTTTTTTTCCCTTAGGTGTGCCTGAAGCTGAAGTCACTTGGTTCAGGAATAAAAGCAAACTGGGCTCCTCTCACCATCTGCACGAGGGCTCCTTGCTGCTCACAAATGTGTCCTCCTTGGATCAGGGCCTGTACTCCTGCAGAGCAGCTAATGTTCATGGAGAGCTGACCGAGAACACCCAGCTCCTGATCCTAGGTAAAAACCTCAAAGCTCACTGCCTTGGTGGACACCAGGAGGTAACTCTCCAACCCATCCTCCATCTCCTTGTTTTCCTGATTCCATGAAGGATGTAAAAGGCAAATTCAGTATCTCTTCATTTCTCCCCACCTTCAGGCTTTCCAACAGAAAGCACGCAGACCAGGGGCCAGGCAAACATGAGCTTGAACCCTGGCTCTGCCTCTTACTTACTGTGTGGCCTTGAGCAAACTCCTGCCCCTGGCTGGTCTTAGTTGCTGGTCTCTATATGGAGGCCTACCAAACAAGGACTGCCCACATTGCAGGGGAAGCAGGAGTGTCAAAAAAGGTAACAGATGTAAAGCTATTAGTCTTAACTCCTGTGCTGAAGATTTCTAGAGAACCAGATGAAAACTGGTTCCCTCCACAGAAATATTTGCATGTAAGATTTTTTACTTAGTTCCAGGAAGTTCATAATCTAGTCCACATAAGCTCCACAATCATGTCCCAAACAGAGGAACCCCTGTCTAAAGAATCTAGCACAGTTCCTGGCATAAAATAGGTATTTAAAAATAAGAACAATGCTAGGGCACCATCCACCAGCTGCCATTGCTCAGCACTGAGCTCCGCCATCTTGCTTTTTTGTTCTGTAGACTAGGGACCATCTACTGTTCTTCCTACTGAGTCTGGGGGTTAATAAAATAGAGATGGAAAAAGCTTTGTGGGGGGCCTTACTCTTTAAAAACAAATTATTGGAGTATTTGTGCTTGTTTTCTCACCAAGAGAAAGCTGTCATTCTAAGGGGAAAATATGAAAAACAGTTACTTGCCACACATACACACGTAAACATACCTTATGCACTTCCTTAGGGAAAAATAATTAGGCTTCTGTTTTCGTATCCAAAGTTGATGATAAAGCAAAGCACAGGTTCTACATCCCCTGCCCACTCAGATTTTATACCCTAGATGGAGGTTTTTGTCACTGGTGGCTGCATAAACCTCCAGTCTTCATAGGAAGCCACAGAAAATTGGCTGAGAGAAAGAAGGATGTTATTTGTTTTGCACTGGGTTTCAGCCAGCTCTGCTGCTAGTGTGGAGCCTAGAGGCCAGGAACTATTACCCCACACTGAGTTATGGTGCTTGTTGATGGTTTTGTCTCCCTAGTAACCTTTCCACGCTGTTTCTACTAACAGATGAAAGTCTAAGATGGTGGCTGCTCCTGTGGTGTTGCCAGTGGGGTGTGTGTGGTCTGTGAGCCACCTACTTGGTTCCTGTTGCATCCCAACCCTAACACAGTGTGACCATGAATATAGTGTTTGAAGGGCACAAAGTCTTCCCCATTTCAATCCAACGTGGTAGGGGAGAATTCACTGTGAAAACTCTTAACTTCAGGACTTTTATTTTTTTATTGATTTTTTTAAAAAAAATAAATGATAGCGGAATGCATTACAATTCTTATTACATGCATACAGCACAATTTTTCATATCTCTGGTTGTATATATAAAATATGTTGACACCAATTCATGTCTTCATACATGTACTTTGGATGATGATGCCTATCACATTCCACCATCCTTGCTAATCCCCTGCCCCTTCCTTTCCCTCCTACCCCTCTGCCCTATCTAGAATTCATCTATTCCTCCCATGCTCCCCTTCCCTACCCCACTATGAGTCAGCCTCCTTAAGATAAACAATAATAAGTGTTGGCGAGGATGTGGGGAAAAAGGTACACTCATACATTGCTGGTGGGACTGCAAATTGGTGCAGCCTATGTGGAAAGCAGTATGGAGATTCCTTGGAAATCTGGTAATGGAACCACCATATGACCCAGCTATCCCTTTCCTCGGTTTATAACCAAAAGACTTAAAAACAGCATACTACAGGGACACAGCCACATCAATGTTTATAGCAGCACAATTCACAATAGCTAAACTGTGGAGCCAACCTAGATGCCCTTCAGTGAATGAATAGATTWAAAAATTTGCATATATACACAATGGGATTTTACTCAGCAATAAAAGAGAATAAAATCATAGCATTTGCAGGTAAATGGATGGCGTTGGAGAAGATAATGCTAAGTAAAGTTAGCCAATCCCAAAAAAACAAATGCTGAATGTTTTCTCTAATATAAGGACTTTTCCTGATCCAAGTCTTGGTTTCTTAGTAAAAGATTGTCAGTTTTTATAGGTATATTAGAAACACAGAAGACATAACTTTTAATCAACAAAAATATGGCTTAATTTTTTAAAGGGGGTATTATGTATAAAGCTGATGGCAATTTCTGTGACTTAATCTATTACATAAAGTATGTAAAATAATGAGACAGAGTCTAGATGAATAAATGAATCTCCATACTGCTTTCCACATTGGCTGTACCAATTTGCATTTATTCATCTAGGTGAATAAATTAATTCATTGGATGAATATTCAGAGTGCTACCTCTATGTCCATGTATGCTCGACTCTGGTAGAGCTTTAGGAGAAATGCAAGAGATGGGCTCTGCCCCTGAAGCATTTAGTCTCCCTGGAAAGATAAAATGAACATGAACCAAAAAAGAAATACCGTAGAAGCCATCAGGAGGGGCTGACGTTTGACCCAAGGAGATCAGATTATTTTTACAGATAGAACATAAACTCTCCTTTTTGCTTTTACTAAATAAGCAAAGATTTCTTTTGTTTCAAGAGTGACTATTAAGGACGAAGGGAGGAAAAGAGACTAGCTTTGAGTAAACTGATAGCATTAGTTCCAAAAATCATGGTATTCCAGAGTGGAAAAAGAGCTTGGAAAGGAACACACTTTTATTGGGTCAGCAGGATTCAGTGACTTCCCAAGTTAGTGAATGACAGAGCCATATCTCAAACTGAGGATTCCTGAATCCAAGCACGGTGTTTTCCCTCTACCTAATGACGAGGGGTTTTCAGAGTTCTATTTCATATAGGGATAAATAATCTCAGGTTCACCATTGTTTTCTCCGTATGATGGTCTTTGGCAGTCAAAGGCAGCAAGACAGAGGGATGTTTCTGAAGTAGACTCAGACACCATCAGGGAATAAAATGTAAATCTTATTTATTTACCATCTCAGACAAGTGCCTAACACATGGTATGGACCTCACTCATTCCTGTTGAAATGACCATCAATTACAAGAGCAATTCTTGTGCTTCTCATTCTACCCCACCAAGTGTTCTGAAGAAAAGAGTGGCCACTGGCCATGGAAGTGGGCACAGCAGTGCTTCAAGAGACACGGGGAGAAGGGCAAAAGGATTCTGCTGCTTTTCCAGCAGAATCTGGATTATTCCACCACTAGGTTCAATAAGTGCTTGCCTTTTTATTTGTCCAGTGGAAATGATAAGCTACTGTGTCTCCTATTTCTGTCACTTTTAGCTCAGGTCATCAGTGATTTCTGATGACTTTAGCCCTAACTCCACATAAGATTTTGAATGACAAGGCATCCAGTGCAAACCTCCTCCTATCCTATTTATTTGGGTTCCACGTGGGCATAAAATCAAGATCTCAAATTAACTTCACAACTGGATATTTTTCTTCATAGAAAAAGCCACTCATAGTGTTTTTGTATTTCATAGTGTTCTTTTAAATAAGAAACACCTGTGGCATATTTCTGTGTGAGGGGACAATAACAAAGTGCCTCACTCTAAAGGATGTTATGAGAATTAAATGAAAAATGGGATGAAAACTATTATCTCACAACTTGGCATATAGCGAATGCCAAAGTTATCTTTTTAAAAATGTTTCTTTATAATATGGTTTAATTTATCTGCAAAGTTATACGGACCCAATAGTGATGTGATAAAAAGTAAGGAACCCCTGAAGGTAATGTGCCTGGTTTTTATTATCTCATTATTTTAGGCATCAAATATTAAGTTTGAAATTCAGATTTGCCTTGATAAGTAGATCTCGTCCTAGGTAAAAGTGATTTTAAGAGTCAATATTAGTAATGCCTGGGGCTAGGGATGTGGTTCAGTGGTAGAGTGGTTGCCTAACATGCACAAGACCCTGGGTTTGAACCCCAGAACTGCAAAAAAATGATAATTATAATAATAGTAGTTTCTGCCTTACACACACACACACACACACACACACACACACACACACACGCCTGCCACCTCTCTCTGTCCCTTATTACAGCCTGTATGCTTCAACCATCTGTCTTCTTACAGATCCCCCCGACGTCCCCACACAGTTGGAAGATATCAAGGCCTTGCTCTCAGCCACTGGACCGAACCTGCCTTCAGTGCTGACATCTCCTCTGGGAACACAGCTGGTCCTGGATCCTGGGAATTCCGCTCTCCTTGGTGAGTCCAGCCCTCTGAAACATTGGGCAAAAATCCAGGGCTGGACAGGATTTATGGATGGGTGACTACTTGCAGGTGGGAGGAGGCAGCAGTGGGGGGTGGCCAACAGGAAATCACTAAATTGCCTACAGAATCCAGACTCACCAGTGGAAACTTGGCTGAGGTTTCATATGAGGTGAGTGCCGTTCTCAGTCTGGACCCTACAGCTTGTCTAGATTCCATTATGGTTCCTTTCTGAGTTAACTTGGGCTGATGCCACAGCTCAGATCCTCTTGATGAGGCTGACTCAGTAAACTTTGAGAAAGGTATAGCAGTAAAGGACTATTCCTTTGTCTCTTCTCCCATTCTCCAGTACCCCCATGGCTTCCTCCTACCTAAACAGAGCTATCATCAGCTTTCAAGGACAAAGCTGCAATGTCAGCACCCTTCTACAGCCCATGATTCTGTTTGGGCCAGCCTTCTATAACACAGTCTGACATCAGCCCAGATGGATTCCTCAAGGCAAAACTTCCCTGGCTTTTAGCATCGGGAATCTTCACCAAATTGTTGCCTACAGGACAGGTGTCTTCTGGTAGCAGAGAATTGTGCAAAAGCATCTGAGTCCTCTCACCAGAAGCATGGAAATGCCAAAGGAACCTTCACTCATGACCTCTGGAAATAATCAAGGTGGAGAAAGGACTTCTTTTCTCCAACAAAGTGTGGGGGAACATGAGTCTGTGAATGTTMGGGGCAGGGAGAATATGGGAAAGCCCTGTGCATTCCTCTTGATTGTGCTATGAACCCAAAACATAACACTGCTTAAGATGGGGATTAAAAAAAAAAAGAAAGAAAAGCTTTTAACTACTTTTAAAAACAGTAACAACAAAACCTGCAAAGTGTGGGAAATCTTCACACTAACTCTCTGTGACCTCAAATGTTGATAATTGTAACTAGAATTGTTCCCTTGGCTCAAAGTTTAAAGTTTCTCTACTCTTCTACCCACGAACTAACAAATAACAAAGTCAAATGGTTTTCTGGTTTTATTGGTGATAACTTATCAACCTGGCCAAAGAAGGACCTCATTAATTGAGAATTAGAGCACAAAGAGAGTATCTTTAATTTTTCATTATCATCTGAAATTAGCACAGTCCTCATAGCTTATCAGTATATGGAAAAGACTTTTGATTTCTCTGTTTCTGATGCAGAGAAAAAATAAGACCCAAATACAGTTAACAAGTAGCCATTTTCTGTTTCCCATAACTTAGAAAAGCTTGGCCTTGAGTTTTTCCATATCACAACAATCAAAATTCATAGAAGTTTCAGATTGCATAGTTTCTTTGGCTTATAAATGAAAAACTTATTCCAAAGTAAGGGTGTGCACTATGGATTTCTTTTTAGTAATGAGTTTTAGACTCATCCCTATAAAAAATTATCATAACTATTCATCGCAACCCAGTCACCAGCAACTGTTTAGTTTCAAGTTGAATAACTCTTTGGGGTCACTCAGGTGCCATTCAACATGCTGGAAAAGTTAACCTGCTCATATTTTTCCATGATAGCTTTACTTTCTTTTTCCTTTATTCTGGAATAATATTTTGTCTCATTTTAGCCATGGGCAATAAGAATTTATTGTGCTTTATACTCCTGCATTCCACTACGAGTTTATGGTGCTTTGTTACCTAAGACTGGACTGCTCCATCTGAATGAGACAGTGAGTCAGTACCCATAAAGTCCCTGAATGTAACTGCCTGGGAAAAATGGATTCTTAGCAGTGAATGACAGTGTTGCATCAACACTATCACAGAAACAGAGAGATCTGCATGGAATCATGGAGGCAAACTAGGGGAGTGATGTCAAATATCAGGACTTAGAGAAGGAGGTCATTTGAGACAGACCAGAGTTTCTGTGGTGTTTTGGAACTGAGCACTTAAGGATGAATGAGATTGAAATAGGCAGAAAGAAAGTGAAATGGCATTCATGGTTAAAAAAAAAAAAAAAAAAAAAAAAAGATACCATGCATCCTGAGATGAAAATGTGCAAAATACCTACCTATATTTGTTCAGAATCAGCCGTGGTGCTGCACTGCTTTAAGGCTGAGGACAGGCAGTTAAATGGGGATAGAAACTACGCCATCAATACCAGCAAACCTCAGCTGGATTGGTCCACTCAGCAGTCCTCATGCCCTCTCCCCACCTTGAGCTCCCAGATAGTGACTCATTCTGATCTGCTAGTCCAGTTGAGAATGCTGGTTACCTTGACAAGTCCGGCTTCCCTGAATGCTGGAGTATAACAGAGAAGCATGCCCACACAAGTGTAGAATAGAAAGTAAGAGGCTTTATTGAAGGATAGCAGGTAGAACAGACTTCTCCTGGAGGACAAAGGGGATCCAAAAGGGGGAATCCATGGGATGAGGAAATCCCATCCCTTATATATTTAAGGTTTTCTTTCTCATTCTACATTCCAGTCCTTTATGTTGCATGTGATAGGGGGTGCAGGTGGGAAGGCCAAAAGGTGGGCAAAAGGTGGGAAACAGGTGGGCTGATGGGGCAGGAGAGGAGTGATCCAGGCAGGAAGGAGCCTAGGCTGAATTGACTAGCACTTCCCCACCTGCTGGGTGTTGCTTCATTAACAGTTCTTTAGGATGGACCAGGGCCTTGGGGACACTAACAATACAATCTCCCAGGTGCAGTTTCTGCTTTCCCAGACTCAAATGGGATTCCATTTTCTTTATTAGATTTGACTCCATTTTCTCTAGTAGACCCGATATTAGACAAGATTTGCCTAACTACACTAACTACCTATCTTTAAGTCTGGCTTCACAGTCAATTCCCAGTCAAACAGGCTACCATCCCTGGCTCCTGAAGGTAACCCTTTCAGACCAGAGTGTGTGTTCTAAGAAATAGGTCATAGAGACCCAAGAGGTGGTTTTATGAAGGGTTGCTAAGAAACAGAAACAATAAGCTAAGCGGCATCAGATTATGGAGGGCCTTGATTGGTAGGCTGAAGAAGTAGATTTACTACCGTGGGAAATAGGGACAGATGTTGAGATGGTTTTTAAATAAGAAAACAATGTAGTGAAACTAATGTGCAAGAATGCATCTGACTTTCCATAGGAATAATCAATAGCAGGGGAGATAGAATGAAGAAATCCGACATTGAGGGTAACAGGTATTCTAGACCAAAGTGGAAATATGTGGCAAAGATACTGTCAATCACTCTCCCACAGCCTAGGCATCTCTAATTATGATGCTCTTCTTTTCTCAGTCAGGTAGAGCCTTGGGATTCATTTTAACATTCCCACCAAGCCCGGTGGCAGTTCATATACAGGATGAAAGTCATTTGCTCACTCTGTTGAGGCCAGTGAGCAGTGAGATTCAGGTGAAGGTATTTCTCCCATGTGCTAGGGTAGCCAGCTGTAACAGATTCGTGGTGCTATAACACTGCGTGGTTCTGTGGCACAGAGATGGCAACTCATGAACTTTGATTCCTGTTTCATGGGAGGAAGGGGAGAAAGGAGATTTGGGGGTCTTTAAAGCCCAGTCTCAGAGCTAACTCTTCTTCACTGAGACTTGAGTATTTAGATTCCACTGGGTGAATTGATTCAAGACATGGCTACTTCAGTTATCAGACATGCTGGCTTTGATTCCCCTTTAAGTCTTTTGACTAAGCAACACAGGCATGCACCTTTCTGGGCCTCAGACTTCATAACCATAAAATGGAAATGAGGCTTAAGTGGAAGATGCCCAGTGGGGCCTTAGCCGCACAGAGTGGACCCACCCTCACTGGATCCCTGGATCCATTCTCCAAGGCAAGAGAGGTGCTTTTTTTTTTTTTTTGGGGGGGGGGTCTTATTTACAGTGATCTTCCCCCCCCAGCCCCCAAACAGAGGTCAAAACTGTCAGCTGCTCTGGAGAGCAAGGCCCATGCCACCACCTTTGGTGGTCAAGGCCTAAACCAACACTGCCCAGGGCTCCATTTTTACAGGCGCAGCATCTCAGGCCTCCCTGAAGCTCCTGAACCTTTTTTCAGCCTTCAGTTAAATATTGGTTTTGGCTACCAAGGTCTAAGTCTATTATTTCTTATAGTATTCATTTATAGGGTATTAGCATCGATTTTTAAAATGACTTTATTATTAGAGTTTTTATTATAAGAGCAATACATCTTCATTGTACAACAATTAAAAATACAAGTGAAAAGAAGAAAATGAAAATTATCTATAATTAACTAACCCTGAGAGAAGCAGTGCAAATCCCTTTTTCCTAGACATTAATATATACATTTTATATTTTTTTACCTAAAATGAAATGTACTCTCTATACTGCTTGTACATTTTTTCACTTACAGAAATATAGCAAAATTTTCCATGTATTTTAATGTTTTTCTACGGTTTTACATTTAATGGCTGCATTGGCAGGAGATATCATGTTTTATTCAACCAGTTTTCTAGAATTGGATTTTTAGATTGTTTGCAATCTTTTGTTAGTATTTTAAAAATAGATATGGTAAAAATTCTTATTTCTAAGTCCGGATGTGATTCTTATTTATTCAAGATCAATCCCCAGAAGTAGGATTACTGTGTCAAATGCTTTGTATAATTTTGGGTTTTGTTGTATGTTGTCAAATTACCATCCAACAAAGTTTTTCTGTTGGTTTGTTTGTTTTGGTTCTGGGGAGTGAACCCAGGGGTACTTTACCACTGAGGCATATCCCCTACCTTTTTTATTTTTCACTTTGAGACAGATTCTTGATAAGTTACTTAGGGCCTTACTAAGTTGCTGAGACTGGCTTTGAACTTGTGATCCTCCTACCTCAGCCTTTCAAGTCACTAGAATTACAGGTATTTGCCACTATACCCTGCTCCAATAAAGTTTTATCCACTTATATGCTCCCCAGAACTGTATGAGTTCAGTTCCTTGGCACAACTATTGATTGGGCTATTGGGGATTTTTTGGTGTTTAATTTTTTGAGTTCTTTATATACCCTAGAGATTAGTGCTCGATCTGATAAGCAAGTACTAAAAA